GAAAATACATAAGTATAAAACAGAATCAATGAGTTGGAAAAAGGATCAACCCCCCCCCCCCCCCAAAAAAAAATGACTTGTAAACTCAATACGGTGTAGCTAATAACCTTCTCAATGGCACACAAAGCCATTTGACTTACAGTTGTGATCAGCTGTAGTCATTTTAAATTAACTCAGTATGAAAAGAGCTTTCCTGGAGCATTTCAGTCCCTGATAGGGCAAATGATGCAAACAATGAACTATGGGTGGCAAGGCACTGCCAAAAGATCTCTGGGATAAAGTTGTGGACAGGCACAAGTCAGAAGATGAATACAAAAACTGTCAAAGGCTTTATCAATGCCTAGAAGCTTAGCAAAGTCTATTATGAAGAAGTGGAAGGTATTTGATACAACACAGACCCTCCCTGGATCAGGACGTCACTCCGAACTGGAAGAAAGAGCCAGGGGGAAACTGAGAGACGTTACCAAGAGGCCTACAGCAACTCTAAAGCAATTGCAGGAATTTATGACAAAGAGTGGTCATTGTGTGCATGTGACAAAAATATCACAAATTCTCCACAAATGTGGCTTGTATGGAAGGCTTGCAAGAAAAAAAGCCACTCCTCAAGAAAGGCCACATGCAGTCACCATTGAGCCTTCTCAAAATGCACATTGAAGATTCTGAGTCCACATGGAAAAAGGTGTTATGGTCAGATGAGACTAAAATTGAATTATTTGGCCTCAACACCAAACGATATGTCTGGCGGAAATCCAATACGGCTCACCATCCAAATAACACCATTCATACAGTAAAGTATGGGGGTGGTAATACCCTGTTATGGGGGGGGAAGCAGGGACTGGAGCGCTTGTCAGGATAGAAAGAAAAATGGATGGGGGAAAATACCATCACAATCTTGAGAAAAATCTGCTGCCCTCTGCCAAAAGGTTGTCAAGGGGAAGAACGTTTAACTACCAACATGACAATGACCCAGAGCACACAACAAAAAAATGACCACACGGTGTTTGCAGGAGAAGAAAGTGAATGTCCTTGAATGGCCTAGTCAGAGCTCAAACTTAAACCCCATTGAAAATCTATGACTTGAAGAGTGCAATCCACAAACTGTCAACATCAAATGTAACTGAACTTCAGCAGTTCTGGAAAGAAGAGTGGGCAAATATTGCAAAGTCTAGATGTGCAAAGTTAGTAGAGACATATCCCAACAGACTAAAGGCTAGATTTAGAGCAAAAAGGTGGTTCAACAAAATGTTGACACAAGGTGGTGATCCTTTTTCCAACTCAGTGATTCTGTTTTTTTTATTTATTTTTATTTATTTACTGACATGTTGGTGTTACGTATATCTTTCACTTGGATGTTATAAGTTGAGTAAATACAGCTGGATAAAACAAAAACTGTGTCTGTCTTCATTTCAGGCTGCAAAGTAACAAAATGTGATTATTTTAACTGCCACTCGCCTACTGTATTAACAAATGATGGATGGGCGGGAGCTCTCATTTTCTGGGAGGTCATCATAGGACGTCCTCCCACTCTAGCCATGCACGGCACTGGGATTGGTGGTGAGCTGTGTCCCTAGGGCACAGTGGATCACTGATCGCAGTAAAGAGCCAATGATGTAGGCTCTTTACCATGTGATCAGCTGTGTCCAATCACAGCTGATCAGATGTAAACAGGAAATGTCGGTAATCGGCTGTTCTCTCATCATGCTGACAGCGTGTGAGGAGAGGAGAGCTGACAAGCAGCAATCCTCAGAGTAGACATCTACACAGCTAATCAGTGTAGCATCAGTGCCACATATCAGTGCCCATCAGTGATGCCTGTCAGTGCCCATCAGTAATGCCTGTCAGTGCCCATCAGTGCCTCCTCATCAGTGCTGCCTATCACTGCTGTCTATCAGTGCCCATCAGTGCCGCCTATCAGTGCAGCCTATCAATGCAGCCTCATCAGTGCACATCAGTGAAGGAGAATTACTTATTTAAAAAATGTTATAACAGAAACTAAGAAAAACTTTTTTCCCTAAAAATTTGCGGCCTTTTTCTCTTTGTTTAGCAAAAAAATAAAAAACCCCAACGGTGATTAAAAGCCACCAAAAGAATTCTCTGTCTAAAAAAAAATTATAAAAATTTCATTTGGGTACAGTGTTGCATGACCACGCAATTGTTCAAAGTGCGTAATTGCTGAAAGCTGAATATTGGCCTGGGCAGGAAGGGGGTGAAACTACCCAGTAGGGAAGTGGTTAAAGGGGGTAATTCTTTTCTATACCCACTGTATTCCCAACTGTATTTAAGGTGACACTAAACTCAATTTTCGTTTTGGCATCAATCATTCTAAAATATCAAGTATACCACATCTCTGTGTTTATTTTTTAAAGTCTAAGTTGTTTTCAGGCATCTTTTTTTTGTCTGTGCACGCTGCCGTTCCTCCACTGATTGTTAAAAGTGCAACAGCATGTACTATGCACTCCAAACTATAGATGGCACTGTAGTGTTTATAAATGCTTGTATATTCTTGCACAGGAAGGAGGTTTTTGCTCTCTCTGTTCTCTCCTGTAATGCTGTTCTCACACGTGTATGCTGCTCTCCTATACAAGTATTGCTGAATTCTACATTCCTCAAGATTTCAGTGCCTCCTTTTAACACATAACTAACACTGATGCACTTCAGCACTAATAGTGTAGAGCGAGCAGTGCCTGTCTTTTCACATGCTCCTCTTTATGTGTACTATAATTCCCATAGTACTAAATGCTTCTGTATAGATATGTAGTCCATTTCAGGGATGAGCAGGAGAGGGTGACCACATTCACATACACAAAGGGGGCATGGAAAATGAACGTAGCCACCCTAGAACAGGAAGCCTGAGAATAGCAAAAAAAGCTTGCATTTGAGAGATAAAAAAAGAGAGAGATAGAACGTACATTCTACTCATACATAAACATATTGCATTTTTTTTATTTCATAAAAAATGTGAGTTTAGTGTCACTTTTTAGTGAGTTTAGTACCACTGTTTCAGGCTTGTTGTTCATCATCAGTGCAGTGGATGGAAGCCATGGCTTCTATAGATTAGGGCTTACGATTCAACAAGAAAGTAAAACCCATAAGAATGCGGTGAAAAGAAGAAGGGTTTATTCAACTATGTGCTTTACTGCACTGTCAAACACTGGTCACCACTAGGACACACAGAAAACAATTGTTTTCTGTGTGTCCTCTTCACACTGCAATACAGCCTGGAGCTGCGCTAAAATGCAGTCCTGCTGCATTTTTTCACATCGTACCGCACAGGATATCATGCCACTGTAGGGCAGCATTTTACCGTTGTACAGTGACATGAATGAAGTGTACTTTTGTACACTCCAAAAAAAATTTTGCAAAAAAGGGAGCTGTGTGACATGCTGAATCGTGCACCACACTGCTCCCTAACTACTTCCGCCTGGCCTATGGTCAAATGACGGCCGGGTGAACACTCCGTCCCTTCAGGAGGGCGTCACATGATGTTCTTCTCGGATCGCGCTTTGCGCATGCCCGCAGGGTCGCGCTGTGGCGAGACCTGCCACCGGCCATGTACCTCAGACACGGCTGATCACAGATCTGTGTACCGGCCCCGTTGCCAGTACCATGTGACCTGCTGTGACCAATCACAGCAGGTCACGTGACAGTTGTATACAATGAGATGGCTTCCTTTCATGCCATCCATTGTATACAAGTGTGTCTAGCTGTGAATGGTCACAGTGATCACATGCATAGGCTGGGCCAATCACAAACCATTTGTGTCATGTGATTAGCCGTGGCCAATCACAGCTAATCACAACAAAAAAAACCTGAATGAATCGATTTCATTCAGTTAAATGCTTGCTTATAGCAAAGAAATTCTTTGCTATAATCAATCAAATCATGTAAAAAAAAATACTGATCACTTCCCCAAAGTGCTAACATTATACTACTTTGGTCATAGTGCAATATGAAAAAAAATCTTAAAAAAAGAGAAAAAAATGAATAAAAAATAAAATAAAAAAAAATTATAATTGTTTTTTTCATACTGCCACCAGTCAGTATCCCTGATCACCGACACCAGTGGTGATTAAATACCACCAAAAGAATGCTCTAGTTGTGTGAACAAAATGATAAAATTTTAGTTTGGGTACAGTGTTGCATGACCGTGCAATTGTCATTCAAAGTGTGAGAGCGCTGAAACCTGAAAATTGGCCTGGGCAGTAAGGGGATAAAAGTGCCCGGTATTGAAGTGGCTAATGTAGTCGGAACAGACAGCTGCCGGAGAGGTAAAGCACTGGCAGTTGTCCATTCTAGTGTGAATTCAGCCTTAAAAGGAACTAAACAGCTCTCTACTGAATCAGTGCACAGCACAGTAGAGTCATGACAGAGAAGAGAAGGTATTCACATATCTCATTTCCATATCCAAAAAGTAGGGGAATAAATCCTCATTTCAAGACAGCAGACACAAATCATTTCTTTTCACTCTATTGGCTAACAGTACATCCAGAACCTCGGCGTGTAGCACAGATATATTCTATTATTACATAGCCATTTATTCCCAGTTGCATACAGATGTATCAGTCTTGTTGGCCATCACAAGTGCAGAGTATGGAATCCATTGCTTCTATGGGGGATCAACAAGAAAGTACAACCCAGAAGATTATGGTAAAAAGGGTTACCAGGAACCAAAAAGCCCTCTACTGAACAAGTGCATAGCACATTAGAGTCACAGGAGAGAAGAGAGGATATTCATATGTCTCACTTAAAGCGGAGCTCCACCCAAAAGGGGAAGGACTGGTCCCGGTGCTCCCCATTAAGGATTGGCACCTTTGGGGAGCGCCGGGAACACATGGCGGCTGGTGAAACGGAGGGACACCGCAGGATTGAGGGACAGGTAAGTGTCCATTTTTTAAAAGTTAGCAGCTACAGTGTTTGTAGCTACTGAGTTTTATTTATTTTTTTAAATTTTCACTGGAACTCCGCTTTAAAGTGTTACTAAACCCCAGACCCTGCATTCACTATATCTGGTCTCCCACAGTACACAGAACATGGAAATGTAATTATTTTAGTAAATATAAACTGCTAAATACCTTTTCTCATCAGCAGTTAGAGCAGTCTTGTGACTTCTATCAGTGTCCAGCAGAGCATTGGCTAAAGCTTGTTGGAGGAGTTTTCCTGATTGTCCTATGAGGCTGCATGACCCCTGACCCTCTGTCAGGACAGGGCTGATTGGCCCTGTGTTGATCACATGCACTCTCCCCCAAAAAAACCTCTCTAGCAATATACACCAGTCTCGCACGACCCCTTCATCAGGCATGTGACCCACATGCCTGATGAAGGGGTCCTGCGAGGCACCGAAACGTTGCCTTGCCTTGCTGTAACTATGTAATTGTTCATTAAAACGTTTGGACCCACACTGGTGATCCTCGGTGTGCTGGTGACATTCTCCCTTCCAGTTCAGCCCGACCCCCATCAAAGAGACAGAACATGAGGGGAACTTTTCCTAAGAGTTTGACTATGTATGGGTGCTAATGATATCAAAATGCTGACCATCAACATGGCATCCTGCCTAGTGGGAAAATCGCTGGACAATTCCTATTATAATATAATATATTATATAATTATTAAAATAATTAATAATTATATTCAAAAAATAATAATAATATATTATTATTATTAATAATAATTTATATATTAATAATAATTAATTAATATTTATTTAATCAATAATTAATTAATAATAATAATTATTATTAAATTAATAATACAAAATAATTAATAATTATAAATAATAATTAATAATAAATAATAAATATTAAAATAATTATTTTCTACTCTACTTTCCTATACAGAATCTGTCTGAAATGTACCATCCAGTGGACATTGGAAGAAAACATGATGATTCGTGGCTCTGATTGTTCTTGATGAATTGGCTAGAAGCCTGCATATGTGGAGACGTTGTTCATTATATCATAGGAGCATACACTAGAAATAAATATCAAAGCCATCTCTTGCATAACCTGTTCTAGTTACATTGTCCGTAATACAAAGCTCTGTGTCTATGTTGCTACAAACTACTGCTGCTTGGATATATTGTTAGGTCAATATGTGTTATCACATAGGCAAAGATACTGAATGCAAAATTGTAGCGGCAGCCTCTGCGATCTGATTTAAGAGGGCATGCAAAATGATTCAGGATGCAGGTCCCGGGTTATCCGTGTTTATTCTAACACTGCATACTGTAGCACTGAGCCAGCGTTTTGTTTAAAGCTTGTACTGAGCCATTTGACTTCAAGTTGAACTTCAGCCAAATAGCAAATATGCAGATAAAATACACATATGTATACTGTGTTATCTGTGAAAGAATGTGGAATTCTGCGTGGCCACTTTTGGGATTCATACATCTTTGCCAGAATGTGCAGTCAGAAAGGTTACACCATTTTCCTTATTAGGTCCCAATCACGGAGCAGCAATGTATGTTAAATATGTTGGTGCGATGCCATGCCATTCATTTAAATGACAACCCAGTGCACCTTGCTGATGTGTTGCTGTGTGGTACTCTGCCAAAAAATGCTGCATGCACCATTTTTCAGCATGCAGCCTTTTTTTGGCACCACAACGCACCGCAGCAATGAACAGCTGTCGGCAAGGTACATTTGGGTGCCATTCAAATGAATAGTACTGAGTCGCACCAACACACTTAATATGTGTTCCTATGGTCAGGCGTGCATTATCGCAAAGTCACAGTAAGAACATGTCCTGTAGTTAACGTGGAAATTCACCCAAAGGTGGAAGTTACACTTTTCATCCTCCCCTCCTTCACTGCCACATTTTCCACTTTTTGGGAGGGGGAGCGGGTACCTGGTTTTGTACCTGGTTGCGCCACAACGATCTGAGCCAAACGTTTGCCACCCCCCCCCTCCTTCCCCCCGAAGCCTTCTGGAACACTTTACAGGTCCCAGAAGACTGCCAGACAGGGTGGACTGACAACTCATGGGGCCCCCGGGCAAAAGGGGATCATGGGGCCCCTGTATCCTTGCCCAAACTCAAAAAAGCCTATGAAAACAGTACCAGGGGCATCTAATGGGGCCCCCTACTGACCCCGGGCCCTCGGGCAGTGCCCGAGTTTCCAAATGGTCAGTCCGCCCCTGTGCCAGACCATTCCCAAAGTGCAGTGAGTTTTACGCATGCACATTAGGAAACTGGCTGTGAAGCCTCACTGCCGTTTCCCCTTACTTAAAGCGGAGTTCCACCCAAAAGGGGAAGCTTTAAGCCTTTGTCCCCCACTCCCCATTAAAGATTGGCACCTTTGGGGAGCAGGTACCCGAATTTGACAGGTACCAGCTCCCACTTCCACTGGGATCGCCTAGGCAATCAGAAGCAGAAGTTGTCCTCCCCCCCCCCCCCCTCCCCGTAGTCTTCTGGGACGTGACAGGTCCCAGAAGACTACGGGGACATTTACAAAGCGCAGCGCTTCTTGCGCATGTGCAGTGGCCACCCGGCTGTGAAGCCTTGAGCTGTCACAGCCGGGTGCCCACACTGAAGATGCCGGCGCCAGGGAGAGAAGACAGCCGGTGAAACCAGCAGTGGTGAGGGCACCGCAGGACCGAGGGACAAGTAAGTGACTGTATTTTAAAAGTCACCAGCTACAGTTTTTGTAGCTGCTGACTTTTCAATTTTTTTTTTCAGATGGAACTCCGCTTTAAGATCCCGGCATTTGCACCTGAAGCCGATTAAAGAATCGGCACAGGTGAGGACATCATTGGATCCCTGGTAAGGTAAGTGTCCTTATATTAAAAGTGAGCAGCTACAGTATTTGTAGCCGCTGGCTTTACATTTTTGGTGGGGAGACTGGAGGTCCTCTTTAAAGTGTTACTAAACCCACAACAGTAAAATCAATCTGTATATGCAGTAAAGCATACTTGTTATACTCACTGTGGAACCTAAGGGGTTAATCCTCTGCATTGTTTGATCCTTTCTTCTCTGCCCCATCTCTTGTTGAAATGATCACCTGATACAGACTAAATCCGTAGTCACATGCACATGCTCAGTTTGGTGTGTATTGCTAGAAAGGTGTTTTTTTTTTTTTTTTTCTTGAGCGAGTGCATGTGATCAGCACAGGGCCAATCAGCACTGTCCAGACAGAGGTCCAGGACTTTCGCATCCTCCTACTGCAGAAAGAAAACTCCTCCTACAAGCTTTAACCAATGCTCGGCTGGACACTGATAGAAGTCACAAGACTGCTGTAACTGCTGATGAGAAAAGGTATTTAGCATTTTATATTTCCTAAAATAATTGCATTTCCATGTTGTGTGTACTGTGGGAGACCAGAAATAGTGAATGCAGGGTCCTGGGTTTAGTAACACTTTAAGGTAGAGCCTTAAGTAAATACCAGCTTTGCCAAACCCCCATCCTTTTGATTGACATTAATAAGGATAGCACTAGGCACAAAGAAGCCGCCGCATTTGCATTGCCTGTACAGGCAAAGCCCCACAGTCTAAAGCTGGCCATACACTGTTAGTTTTTTTTTCAGCTTGCAGGCTGAATGAAAAAAAAAAATACTGACAGATTCCTTCATTCACACTAACAAGGTGGATGGAGGACTCCCCTCTGCTGGGACATTGTATTCCAGCAGTGGCTCCCGCAGCTGTCAGAACACATCTATTGTGTTTAAGTCATGGTTGCTAAGCATCTAAATGGATAATTCTCATTTTAGGATTGAAAGGTTTGTTCACACAGGCAGCCAGGAAAGGTGGTAAAAGCTGAAGGTTTTTTTCACATTAAAACCTTCTCTGTATTATGGTAAAAAACCTGCGTGCAGCTCCCCCCCCCAGTCCCCCCTTATACCTACCTGAGCCCTATGTGCACAGGAGCAACGACTCTTTCTCTCTCCTCATTGGACAGAGAGACAGTAGCTCTTGCTGCTGTCAATCACAGCCAATGGACACACAGTACCAGCTCAGGAGTGAGCACGCATGAGTGCCCCCATAGCTAGAGGCTTGCTATGAGGCTATGAGGGCACACGGCGGGAGGGGGGAGGGGGGGGGGAAACAGGAGTGCCAGCGGGGGACCAGAGATTAGAAGCATAAACCATTGCATAGAGCAGGTAAGTATGACATGTTTTTTTTTTTTTTTAAATGCCTTTACAATCCATTTAAACTGCAGTGATGGCTGGGAGACAATGTACACATTGACTCCCAAACAGTCCCAGATTGTGCAGGACTATCCTACATTGAACCTACACCAGCTGTCCTGTGCTTTCCTGCAGAGGGACTGTACTGAGAAGGAACTGAAACGGATGCCAGTGCTGTGGGGTTGGTTTGTACTGGGAAAAGGCTTGAAGGTAGATCTGTGCTGTGGGGGTGGTCTGTACTGGGGAAGTTTGTACTGAAAAGGGACTTTGAGGGATTCTGTACTATGGGGGTGGTCTGTACTGGGGGGTCTGTACTGATAAATGGCTGCGGAGGGGATATGTGTTGTGGGGGGTCTATACTATGGGGCGTTTGTGCTGGGAAGGGCCGGGAAGAAGGTCTTTACAGTAGGGGTAGTTTGGCTTGTGGGGGAAGGGGGGTCTTTGCTGTCGGGGTGGTCTGTACTGAGAAAGGGCCTTTGGAGGGGTGGTGGTGGTCTGTGCTGTGTGGGTGATCTGTACTGAGAAGGGACTGTGAGGGCATCCATGCTGGTGAAGGTCTGTGGAGGGGGGTCTGTACTAAGAAGGGTATGATAGGGAGGTATATGCTATGGGGGTGGTCTGTACTGGGGGGGAGTCTGTGCTGAGAAGTGGCTGGAAGAGGGGGTCTGTGCTGTGGGGGTGGTCTATACTGGAGGGTCTGTGCTGAGAAGGGGCTGGAAGAGGGGGTCTGTGCTGTGGGGGTGGTCTATACTGGAGGGTCTGTGCTGAGAAGGGGCTGGAAGAGGGGGGTCTGTGCTGTGGGGGTGGTCTGTACTGGAGGGTCTGCGCTGAGAAGGGGCTGGAAGAGGGGGTCTGTGCTGTGGGGGTGGTCTGTACTGGAGGGTCTGCGCTGAGAAGGGGCTGGAAGAGGGGGTCTGTGCTGTGGGGGTGGTCTATACTGGAGGGTCTGTGCTGAGAATGGGCTGGAAGAGGGGGTCTGTGCTGTGGGGGTGGTCTGTACTGGAGGGTCTGCGCTGAGAAGGGGCTGGAAGAGGGGGGGTGGTCTGTACTGGAGGGTCTGTGCTGTGAAGGGGCTGGAAGAGGGAGTCTGTGCTGTGGGGGTGGTCTGTACTGGGGGGGGAGCTGTACTGAGAAGGGGCTGGAGCAGGGGGTCTCTGCTGTAGGGGTGGTCTGTACTTGGGGTGTCTGTAATGAGAAGGGGCTGGAGCAGGGGTCTGTGCTGTGGGGGTGGTGTAGAATGGGGGTCTCTACTGAAAAGGGTCTAGAAGGGGGTCTGTGCTGTTGGGGTGGTCTGTACTGGGGGGGGGATTGTACTGGGAAGCAAATCGAAGAGGAGTTTGTACTGTAGGGGTGGCCTGTCCTGGGGTGTTGAGGGGTGGGATGGTCTGTGCTGTGGGAGTGGTCTATACTGAGATGTGCCTGGGAGGGCATCTGTGTTGTGAGGGGTGGTCTGTATTGGGAGGCCTGTTCTGTGGGGGACTGAGGGTGACATGCGTTAGTATGTACATATCATTGCATCCAAGCAACTATTTATTGTATCCAGGTCAATTATACCTCATTTTTTAAGGACAAATTGGGTTTTCATTTGGTAGTAAATGGTAATGGATATCTCCTGATTTTTGTTTTTATATCAAAGGATCACTGGCACTTGATACCCATGTGAACTGGGTGAATGTAATGAACGCAGCTGCAGTCCAGGCTTTTACCAGGGGCGCAACATATTGCCTCCCAACCACCTGACAACTGCGGTAGACCATTTATAAGAGGGGAAGTCAGTGTGAATGGGCCCTAAGAACTTTTTGAAATTCTCAGAGCTTTTGAAGAGCGCTGCTTGGCGTCCAAAACGTTTCTAGTCACGTTAAAGTGCGCTAAGGGCAGCTTGTGTGAACAGAACAGAGGGGGCCCTGTTGCCAGACATGATGACACCAGTACATGCCTACCTAATAGTCATGACTGGGTGTTCTCCCTGTACAGAAACAGGTAGATCTGGTCCTCCCTGTGTGATCGGTGTGCTGGCATCACAGACAGCCGGCATAGGCAGGGTTACTAGTGAAGCAGAGAGGCGGCCTGGCTCCTCCCCCATCCTCCTAGTCACAGCCATCCCCGGCCAGGCCCAGCTCAGTCCTCATCCCAGCCTGACAGTCATGAGTGGGGAGCATGAAGCCGAGCACGGGGACCCCAGCGAGGACGGAGATGGCGGGGTCACCCCATTTAACCCCTTCCTGCACGAGTTCCACCCAGAGGGCTTCTGGCAGAAATTCAGGGTAAGGCGGGAATGAAGGATTTGGGACAGAAACCCAGGCTGGAGGATGGGGACTACTGGGCTCGGAACCCCTTCATGGCCGATCACTGCAACTGGGCACTGCCAGGGGAAGGCTGCAGTGGGTGGGGGAGGAGGGGAGGGCAGCACTGCAGGGAAGGGGCACACTGAGCATGGCAGGACTCTGCTCACATTTATATATACATTGCAGGGAAGAGGCACACTGACCCTGCTCAGGTCTGTGTGTGTATATACATACATACATATATACTGCAGGGAAGGGGCACACTGACCCTGCTCAGGTCTGTGTATATATATATTTTACACACACACTATGCTGAGCATGGCAGGACCCTTCTTTTATATACACATTGAAAGGACTGAGCTTGGCAGGACTCTGCTTAGATCTACACATCTATATATACATTGCAGGGAAGGGGCACACTGACCCTGCTCAGATTTATAGATATACATATATACATTGCAGGGAAGGGGCACACTAAGCATGGCAAAACCCTTCTCTTATCTATACCTCTCTCTCTATGTGTTTTTGTGTGTGTTTATATATATATTTATTGAAAGGAAGGAATACACGAAGTATAGCAGGACCCATCTCTTATCTATACATCTATATATACATTGATGGAATGGGGTATACTGAGCTTAGCAAGCCTCTGCTGGTATCTATATGTACCGTATATATACACTGTAGGAAAGGGGGTATACTGACCCTGCTCAGATCTGTATGCATTGCAGAGATGGGGCACACTGAGCATGGCAGGACCCTGCTCATATCTGTACATCTATATTTACATTGCAGGGAAGGCAGCACACTGATTGTGGCAATACTGCTTGCCCTCTGACCTTCCCATATCTATATATTTATATATACATTTCAGGGAAGGTGCACACTGACCCTGCATCTATTTATCTATCTTGTAGGGAAGGGGGCAACCTGAGCATGGCAGGACCCTTCTGATATCTCTATACTGTATAAATGCATTGCAGGGAAGGGTGCACACTGATTGTGATAGGTCTGCTGGTCCTCTGCCCTTCGTATATCTATCCATCTATGTATACATTGCAGTGAGAGGCAAGACTGCTGGCCCATTATCCTTCCCATATCTATATATATACATTACAAGGAAGGGTGCACACTGAGGGCAGCAAGACTACGTGCCCGATGTTCTTGTCACTTCTCTATCATATAAAAAACATGTATGGATGTACAGCTATATGTGGATGAAAAATAAGTATACTGTCTTCCACATTTCAACTGTGAATAGTTGTGTGTGTGTGTGTGTTGAACACTGCAGCCCTTTTGTGCCATAGAGGAGAAGCATTCCTATGCAGATGTGTGACATTTCATTCATATAGCGCAGAGTACCTTTTCAGTATTAGAGTCCGGGTTTGACATTGACATTTTTCAGTCTTGTATTTGCACGAACGTTTATCCTGTCCTGCAGTATGGAAATGCTTGTTCTATAGACTGAGCTTTCAGATCATCTGTAGTTTATGGTCCATTGATATTTTATTTTTATTTGGGATTTTAAAGGGTTAGTTCACCTTTACCAAAAAAGCTACCTATGCAGAGAAGGGGTGTCTGTAGATAAAATACAAGCTGTGCAGCTTTTACCAAAGGTGAATAATGTCCTTGCTATAGGTGTAGGCCATTTATATGCCTCATGAAGCCTGACCTGAAAACTCCCAGGACATTGCTAGGGCGTTACTAAGGGAGGCCCAGCTATTACTGTTCACCATCAAAGGAGGGAGCTCTTTCTCTGATTCAGCCCCCCTCACACTTACTTTTTTCTGCCCTGATGCAGTAGCTCTGAGCTCGGCATTTTAGAGTTCACTCCTGTGATGGTGGAGGTGAGCAGAAACAACTAGGCCTCTCTTAGCAATGTCCTGTCAGGCTTCATGAGGTGCTGTACATAAATGGCCTACACTTACAGCAAGGTCATTATTCAGTTTTGGTCAAAGCTGTACAGTTTGTTTTCATTTATAGACGTCACCTATCGACACAAGCAGTGACTTAGGGGTCAGTTCACTAAAGGTTACCGCATGCGATAACATGGTCACGTGACTCATTTGTATACATTTTAAAATGCGGTAAAAAAATGTCCACTTCACAAAAAAAAGAAAAAGAATTATGCAATATTTAACGCAGAATGAAAAATGTGGTGGTGAATATTGCAAAATGTGGTGGTGAATATTGCAAAAAACATGCAGTAAGCTGCTAAGTCCAATTCATAAACAGAACAGAAAGAAAAAAGATTTATCAGTAGGGTTTTGCTGGTGGTATCGCATGCAGTATTGTTTCAGATGCAGTGTGGTGGTCCCCCCCCCCCCCCCCCAATCCATACCAAGCCCTTCAGGTCTGGTATAGATTTTAAGGGGAACCCCATGCCAAAAAGTTTTTAAAAACAGCGTGGGGTCCCCCCCAAATCGATACCAGACCAGTCTCTTCACCTACAGCGGGTTTCCTGCTGACAGCTGAATGTAAACAAAACATGGCGACAAAAATTCTGAAAAAAAAAAAAACCAGCTTGGGGTTCCCCCTCATCCATACCAGGCCCTTAGGGTCTGGTATGGATTTCAAGGAAAGCCCCACACCAAATAAAAAAAAAAAAAATGGCATGTGGTCCCCCCTGAAATCAAAACCAGACCTAAGAGCCTTTTTTTTTTCCCCCATGGAGTTTTCCTTAAAGTGTTACTAAACCCACAACAGTAAAATCAGTCTGTATATGCAGTAAAGCATGCTTGTTATACTCGCTGTGGAACCCAAGGGATTAATCCTCTGCATTGTGTAAAAAAGGCGGTTTGATCCTGATTACTCTGTTCCTCCCCTTCTTCCAGTGCCCCCTTCTTATCTCCTGATAAGACCTATCATGTGGAGACGCTCTGCACATGCTCAGATTGGTGTGTATTGCTAGAGAGGGTTTTTTTTTTTTTTTTCCTTAGGCGAGTGCATGTGATCAGTACAGGGCCAATCTGCACTGTCCTGACAGAGGTCAGGGGTTCTTCATCCTCCTATAGCAAAATGAAAACTCCTACTACAAGCTTTAACCAGTGCTCTGCTAGACACTGATAGAAGTCACAAGACTGCTCTAACTGCTGATGAGAAAAGGTAGTTGGCAGTTTATATCTACTAAAATGATTGCATTTCCATGTTCTGTGTGCTGTGGGAGGGCAGATATAGTGAATGCAGGGTCCTGAAGAGGCATCTGTTGTTACGTATGTGGCGGTTGGCTTCCTTAACAACCAGCTACCATGCGATAAATGACTGCATGAAAATATGCGGTAATGACCACAATACGGATATTTTACTGCAAGAGTTATTTACTGCAAAATTCGTAGTGAATTGCACATTTGCAAAAGATTTCCCGCATGCATTTTTACCGCATTTTTTCAGTCGTTATTTAACTCTTAGTGAATTGACCTCTTAGTCACATTTTATACATTGTAGTGTGGGACCAATTATCTTTCCTAACAAATGAAGTAATGCACTTTCATTTCTGTGCACTTTATTTTGTAGGTGGGGTGTGGAATGTTCAAAAGTTGATCTATATTTTCTGCCTACCATTGTTCTTTAAAATTACCCCCCAGTATATAAAAGCTACATAGGTATCTTCACCCTAGGCCAAACTGGCCAGAATAAGCTTTGCCTGAAAATCAATGAAGGATACAGTTGTTAAAGAGGTGACAGCAAATCGTATGGTCATCATACACATTACTGTCTGACTGTACAATCAAGTTTACATTTACCAAAACTGTGTAAGGGCCTACTTAAATGAGCCAATCAATTTGTAATACAGTCAGGCAGTTCCTTGCACCAGATAGTAATTAATAGATGCAACAAAGTCGTACAATCCGATTGAAACGTGTGGTGAGTTTTAGGGTGATAGCCAAGGATCTGAAGGTATCCTTTGTGCTTCATGACATCTAAATTAATTTTCTGTAACAATAGCTCTGATCAGGAGCGATGTTCATGGAATGCTAACAAAAAGGAAACCAGTGCTCTTCACGAAAATAAAAAAATGCTACCTGATTCATCACAGCTCTGAAGCTAAGTGGAGGGAGCCTTGGGGCCTCAACAGCTTACAATCATTGAATGCCAAGTAGTAACATTTAAGTAAAATGTTAGCACGACCGTCTGTGATCTAAAATTTGAGAAGTTGACCCACATAAAAGGACAGCGACCCAAATAACAGAAACTCTAACAGAGGATTTTTTTTAGATTTTAAAGTGAATATTTACTCTTATTGGGGACATCTATGGGCAATAATTGTGCCTAGGCAGCACCCTGAAATATTTACCTTTTTGAGGTTGAACTCCAGGAATATACAAAATCCACCCATGCAGTAGGGCCCCTGCACTGCAAAGGTTAAAGTGTTATTAAACCCACAACAGTAAAATCAGTCTGTAAATGCTTGTTATACTCACTGTGGAACCAAAGGTGTTAATCCTCCACATAAAAAGGCTGTTTGATCCTGTCTTCTCTGATCCTCCCCTTCTTCTGCCCCCAATCCAACTGCTGATAATACAGAGACCTAGGAGGCACTGCATGTGCTCAGTTTGGTGTGCATTGCTAGAGAGTTTTTTTTTTTTTGGGCGGGGGACTGTATGTGATCAGCACAGAGCTAGTTGGCTTTGTCCAGACAGAGGGTCAGGGGTCATGTGATCTCATAGGACAGTTAGAGGTGAATGAAAACTCCTACAAGCTTTAACCAGTGCTCGGCTGGATACTGATAGAAGTCACAAGACTGCTATATACTGCTGATGAGAAAAGGTATTTAGCAGTTTATATTTATTAAAATAATTGCATTTCCATGTTTTGTGTACTGTGGGAGACCAGATAGAGTGAATGCAAGGTCCTGGGTTTAGTAACATTTTAAAGGAGAAGTATAGCCTAATGCAGGCCATAGATGGGGAGAAAAACGGCAGATTTTCGGCCGATTAACGAACTATCGGTCGGTCTAAAAAACTTACCTGACCACCAAT